CGAACTTGAAGCCTTAATATGCTTATGTGTCGACCGAGCGGAAAAGTACCAAGAACCAAGAACACCTTCCTGCCGAGCCACACACTTCCCCAAAGTCTCCATCAACAGGAATGAATGAAAATTAATTGTCGTCTACTTATGGTTTTTTTTTTGTTGTTGTTCCACTCTTTCTATTTGGGCCCTGTCTGGTGGGACAGACAACGGTTCTCTAAATACCATAGTATTTCATATTTGGTTCGGCACACAATGTTTGATAGATAAAAACTGAATTGTCATCTTTGTCTAGACGAAATAAAAACGTTGGGGAATAAATACAATACTTGGACTTTGACGGAAAGGAGATCAATGTCTCAGTCTCTGTCTGGCTTTTAATATGTAATCTATTCAGTTATGGGAATGATTTGATTATCATAAATTCACTCTAAGTCTGTATCCATCTATAAACTATGCATCTTCCGCCTCCTCTAAACTTAAATTCAATGTTTTCTTGGTTCAAATTTCAAGTTAAAGGAAAAAAACTTCGTCCACGGCAATTTCCTAATTTAACTAATAGAATTTTACTTCATTTTTTTGCATCTTTTTATTGGACACCGCACGCGTCGGATAAGTATCTACGGGGGGATGATTTTCGTATAATTGTCAGCACGAAAAAAAAAGGAAATATGTTTCACAGACACTTCCTTCCACCCGCCTCCCCCCCCCCCCTTCATCGGCAACAGAAGATTATGAAATTTGTAAAATACTTTCCCAAAAGATTTTTCCCCCGCGACGATGGAAAATGTAAAATCTTTGCTTTCTTGCTAAGTGCGACTCTGCCGCAGGGGGGGTGGGGGCTGAAAGGACCCTGATGTCCGTCCATGTTGTACTTAACTGATTTTCCCAAGAATTTTCACATTTCACGGGGCGAGCAGACCGCCCCGGGGGGGCGTGGGGGGTGCGAGGCGAGTCGAATCGAAACGAATCGAAGGCGACCTCAGCGGGAACAGCACAGCGTAGCAATCAGTTTAAAGCTGTCAAGGAAATGCCGGAGATTTTCAATGAGGCTATAAAACGAGGGAAAACTGCTGCGAATAATGCGACGCAGGATCCTCTCTCTAGGCAGGACACCATCGTCATAGCCATAGCCATTTTCTCCCTCTCTCTCTCTTTCTCTGTGGGTGCATGTGTAGAAACTTTAATCAGGGAAAATGCTGCTGCGCTACGTACAGGCACAGATACAGATACATAGATAGAAAAAACAGTTTTCGGGTAATCGAGGCGGAGCTCCGGTGCTCCTCAAGACACCGCAAAAGTCTGCTCCTATTTCCTCTCTATTCCCTCCATTTCTAACCATTTTAAGCTGTTTCTTTCGGCGCCGGCAGCATTTAGGGCTCATCTTCCGTCCTATAGCCTCCATCCAGCATACACCATCCTCTCATGGGGACACTCAACGCTCCACACTCCAGTCAAGAGCGGCAAACGCCTTGCATTTTGTGGTCTGGATGAGCCGATTTTCTGTTTTCTATTGCGGCCAGCACAACGTTGACTCCTCAAGTTGTTGTTTCAACTGTTTTTCCACCACCCCCTCACCGGCTCTTGCCTGGTTCTTGCTGTTTGTTTGCTGTTCTAAATACTCTTAAGGAAATGTTCCAAGAAGGAAGTATTTTCGACTCTAGAAGGTATACGGTGGGAGTATTCTGGAGCGATTTCAATGGGGATTAGTCTTTGGTTAGGGGCTGTAATAGCTCCTATATAAGATATAGGAATGATCTGTTAAGGGTGTAAAAGAGAAGGCCTGTGAATAGAAAAAAAAAACCGCATACATGTCGTGTGCATGACTTGTGCTTGTCGAGAAGAGAACGCTGCAAAAGAGAATGCTGAAAAAGAGAATGCTGCAAAAGAGAACGCTACAAAAGTGAATGCTGCAAAAGAGAATGCTCGAAAAAGTGCATAAACAAAATACATGTCTTGTGCATGATACGGCACACTGATGCTCAATGCTCAAGTTTCACTCATAGGGGTTTCTTTCTTTCACTCAATTATGGTAATATTTTCATTGTAATTTCTTCCAGGGTATCCATCCAACAGAGTCGGGCGCCTGAAGCAGGCATTTCTCTGCGCTGTGCTGCTGCTTGTGGTTCTTGGTTGTTGGTTGTTGGTTGTTGTTCTTGGTTGTTGCTTGTTGTTCTGGTGGCAGCAGCCAAGTTTGTAACGCTGCTTGAGATGTCAAATAGCAGAGCGCCACGCCATGCAGCAGGAAGCACTTGGAAATTGAAATCATGCTTTGGGCGCCAGTTACGCAGACGCCAACGCACCGAACAACAACAACAATAAAAGTGGCATGCAACAACAGCAGAAACAACAAAGAGAACGAGAAGGGTCCCAGAGATATTTGCATATGAATATGGAGCACTCAGAGACGGATGCGGTGGGGGGGGGGGGTCTTTTCGGGTTGTTGCTTCAACAGCAACAGCAACAGCAACAGCTACAGCTACAGCAATGGGGCACAAACGATTTGTTGCTTGCTACACACACACACACAAAGGAACAACAACAAAAGATCTGCTAGGAAAAAAAGTATACCCTTTATCCACGGAAGGGCGGGAGGGTTCTATCCCCTGGAAGAAGAGTACGAAACGCTTTGATCGAAACACTTTTAATACTTCATTAATTACATATTTATTTGTGTATAAAATAATACTTACAAATAATACTCTTGAAATTCTAGAGAATTATGAGTAGGCAGAAATCGGAAAAAAAGTTGTTTTATAGCTTTGAGAGGCAATAGTTTTTTCGTTTAAAGATCTTTAATCCTCAAAAATGGGGTTATGATTTCTCGGGATTTCTATGAAAGATACTCGATAAAACTCGGTAAAAACAATACCCGTAGAAACATTCTATGCTTTTATTAGGTACCAAATATAATCTATTATCATCCAACAAGAAAATTCTCATAGCGCAGACGAGGCTCTGGAAGCAATTTATCTACAATTTATCCGCGATATCACCTCCAGAAATAAACAAAAACTGGTAGGGATACAAGTGGACTCCTGTAGATTCTGTGAACCATCGAAACACAGCCTATGGAAATGTCCTAGGCTTTATAAATGAGATCACAGGACCCCTCCCATAGGATTTGGGTAATTAAAAGTTTATTTAAAGCCTTAAAAGTATCATTGGCCGGTAAAAAATACGAATAAATGGTCGAAAAGCAACAAGGCCTTCTAATATCGTATCCATATAGTAATCCATCCAACAGATGATTCTGGGACCTTCCATATTTCTATATTTATTGGAGAAGAGATATGGGTGTCCTCTCATCCTTCTTTAAGGGTATCTTCAGCCTCGACCTATCCATCCTTTGATGTTTGATGGCTGCTGTTGTTGTTGTTGTTGTTGTTTTTTCTGTTGATACTATGTTTTGTGGGTTTGTGCCTCCTCCATAGCTTATGGTGTGTGTGCCTGTGGTGTATTGCCGGCGGCAGCAATATCGTTCAACGCTTGATTGTTGTTGTTGTTGTTGTTGTTGTTGTTGCTTGTGGCATTGGTGGGCTCTAGATGGCGCCACACGCTAGCGAAAATTGAATAAGAGGCTCGAGACTTGAAGGCAATTCCCGGCAAAAGATGTAGGCATGCGGCAAGCGGCAGTCAGGCAAGCGGAAAGCAGGAAGCTATACCAATAACAAACACACATCTACCCGACCAACCCACCCACCCACACACACACACACACACACACCACGCCACACACAGATAGACATGTTCGTGGAACAAGGAAAAGTTATGTAGTGTTCCATGCCATGTAGTACCTCCGGATACCTTCAACAGTCCCCCCCCTCCCCCAGCCCCTCATTTTTTCTCGTTTTTTCTCCGTTTTCCTTTTTATATATTTTTTGCTTGTTTTTGGGTTACTTTGAATTTAATGGAAAATTTATTGACGACATGCCGCTTAGTCGTTTGACTTGGACTTGGACTTTTGCTTTTGCCTTTGCCATTGCTGTTGTTGCCCCCAAAAGCACCCGGAGGCGACCCACTCCCACTCTCCCTATCTCCCTCTCTCTCTCTCTCGGGACTAGCTATTTCCCGGCCAGCAGGCAGCTCCAGCTCCAGCTCTGCTTTCACTGCTTGTGGGTCCTGTGCTCTGTCATGTGTGCAAAGTTTTCGCATTTGGTTTGGTTTCATGAACTTACCCATGCCCTTTCCTTCTTCCAAGCAATTGGGGATAAATAGTTGATGATTGTGTGTGTCTGTGTGTGGGTGAATTTAGGGGCTGATCGAATGAGGGATGACCGCATGGATATGTCCCACGAATTGATGGATTGTCTCTCAGGCGCATTGAAAAAACATTTCAGCGATTGGCATATGGCCAGATGCGGGATCAAGGCTTTTCTTTTTTACATTTTGGCTTTGACTTTGAATGAAAGGATGCCAGCCGCTCCCCGTGAGAATGTGCCAGGTGTATCTCTCAATTTGTTTCATAATTCCAACCAAATAGATGCGGGCCTTGTCCCAGCCTGTCTCCCTCTCTCTTGTATGACTTGTTCACTCCACAATAAATTAGAATTATAATTTCGCTTAGCCAAATCAACGACGCAATAACCGGGCCCGATGGCCGGCTTACATGCAAAAGGACTTTTGCCCGAGAGCAACCCCCAAGAGAAGCGAAACCGAAGCCGAAGAGGGTAGTTTTTTGGCCGTGCCGCGCCAATCCTCGGCCCAATCCTCAACGGGGGATCTGCGACGAACAAACTTTTCTCGCGTGTTTTACCAACTTTAATATTTTATGTTGCTGATTTTCTTTATGGGATTTGGCCCTAGAAAACCACCCATAACCCGCCCCCCATAACCCATCCTGCTCCTTTGAAAACTCAACAAGTTTTTGGCCAAGACTCCTGGGGTCCTTGGTCCTTGGCTTGGAGTGTGGCAGGAGGGCGGACACGCCTGCCCCGTTACGCCATTAGTTTATGATTATTGGCCAAGTTTAGAGCCAGATCGAAAAGGAGGGGGCGTACAGTACTCACCTGTTGTTGGCTGTTTGGTGAGGGTCAGTCCTCCATTGTTATCGGTCAGCAGCAGCACGGGCAGCAGCAGCAGCAGGATCTCCAAGAGTTCAATGACAAAAAGGCTTCGATTGTAAAACAAAAACATTGCAATCGGCTACGTGTATGCCCTTTTGCCCGATGGCTTCTCCACCTTCTCCGTCTCCTCCTTCTCCGACTCCTCCTACTCCTCCTTCTCCGACTCCTCTTCCGGGTGTCTCCAACCAAAGTCTGTGACTATATCCTACAGTGTGGAACGATCCGGTTTGTTGCTTTTTCCTTTCGTTTTCGGGGGGTTACGATGTGTATTTTCTCATATTGTTGTTGTTGTTGCGATGACGGCAGCTCTCCTTCGAAGATGAATGGAAAAATCAAATCACCGAATTTTATTTACTAATCTAACGCTAACACACACACACACGCACACACACAATGGCTTTATGGGGAGGGGGGAGGCGGGGTGGCACACAAAAGTATGCTAATATATTTGGCTTGCTTTTGCGGGCGGGGGCAACGCCACACGCATAAATATTTTACGCGTGCAACAGTGCGTATACGCAATTTGTTTAATAGTCCACACAAACATCCCACAACACAACAGAATGGGTCCCGGGACCGGGACCAGGTCCTGGACCTGGACCTGGCGCCAATGTCGTTTTGCTGTCAACGTTCAAATCTGGCAATTGATGGGGAAAGAGCCAGAGCGTGTGCGAAACAGTGAAGCTTCGCTGTGGGCGGTCCAAGATTTATACGGCAAGTTTTTCTGTAACCTCAGCTTGAAATTGGTGTTCCATTTCTCTATAAACATGTATCTAAAAAATACTTAAATGTAGGTAAAGATTTATTTGAAAAATTTGTAAAAAGTTTCCAGCCCTTTAGACTCCTATTCTGCGATGAATTTTATATCGATTCCCTGAGATGGCCAAGGTAAAGGACTTCCTAGGAATCAGTGACTCAAAGACCCTCTCTGACGGTGCTATAATCCATTATTTATATTATTCCTATTCCACCGCTTGACCATTAATATTTCACTTTTAATCTGTGCTCGTAACTTCGGAGATTGGCCTCAAGAGATCCCTGCCATCCTCCCACGCATCCTTTTCAGTATCATCTATGTATCATCATTAAATTTGTACTGGCTTTTGTGTTCCGGTTTGAGCTGTGATAAATTCTGTGAGTCTTCGACCAACTTCTGCTGACTGCCGACTGAACCATTGCCATTACGCACGCATCGTGCCGTAATCATAATGCTGATGCTCTGATGCTCTGATGATGATGGTGCCATAAAAGGCAGCGGGCACATTTCAATTCCACAACCAGAGACGGCGACGGCGACGGCGACAAGTACCACAAAGGCGCATGTATCTGAAAGATACATTTTCTAGCTTTCTAGAGTGCTCGGATTCTCGCGGCAAACCAAAGCGAGCACAAAAAAAAAAAACAAAAAGTATTCGCATAAATGAATGCTAAAATATATTTCGGCAGCGACTGCGGCAGCGGCTGCGGCTATGGCTGTGGCTGTGGCTGCCTCTGCTGCGGCGCCATTACTGTTATTGCTGCTGTTGCTTTTTCCACTATCAAAGGCTTTCGCGAAGCACACGCTGACGCCAGCTGCGCCGCCGACGGCAATGGCAACAGCGCGACAGCTACTGAGGCTGCAACCACAGACAAAGTTTTATATGTATGACAATTGCTTTTTTGTTGAGACCCAAACAAAAAATTGTAAAAAAATTCAATAAATCAAAAGAAAATGCAAAAAACTGCCAAAACAAACAAAAAAACAAACCGAAACAAGAAACAAAAAACGAGCGGCTCTTGCGAGAGTCGAAGAATTTAATACTCTACCACAAAGTGGGTGTAAAAAAGACTATGGTATGATAAATAATACTATACTGGGTAGATAATGGAATCACCTTTGGATCAAGCTAGTGCCCGCTATACCCTTTATTGTTGCTTGAATTTTCGCGCTAGCCAAACTTTTACTCATATCTAAACGACCTCTTCCAAGGATATGTTTTAGTCGAAAAAGTGAATTTGAATGGTTTTTCACTCTTGCTGCCGGCAAATGTTTTGCACACGCACTTTGGCGTTTATTTGTTGTGTGGCATGGCCCTTTGTTTACAACTTTTAATATACAATATTTTGTGTTTTGCAAAAGGACAGGCCCCAAACGAAAAACCTCAATTTGAGAGATAAGCAAGAAGCGTAGCGGAAATCGTATTGGGGGTTCTCCGTGTATGTGTGTGTGTGTGTTATATAAAACAAATTGAACAATGCACATGTATGCGAAATTTCGGGCAAAAACACACACACACGCACACACTGGCAAAGGCACAGCCAAAGAGAGAAACAGGCGCTCAGAATGAATAAAAGTTTGCTTTGCGGGCACTGACAGGGGGAGAGCAAACAAAAATTCAGCAACGACGCAAAAATTTCGATTTCCTCGAAATTTCTACCTCGTTTTGTTGTTCTTCTATTATGCTTATTTCTCTTATTCATCATCTGCTCCTGCTGTTTGTTGCTGCCGTTGTTCTTCTTCCTTCAGGCGTTGTTCTCAATTTCACTTCCGCAAAAAATGTTGGAATCGCCGTCGAGGCGGTTAACAAGGAATGCAGAAATGTGATGTGATCGCTAAAACGTCCTCGTAGATTGGACAATTTCTTCTAAGTTTCACTTTCGATCAACACTCTGGGAAAACGAAACTGGGAACAAGGCCTGATAATACATTTTGTTTGCAAATAAAGCAAAGCAAAGAAAACGAAGAGAAGAGAAGAAGCAACAGCAGAGGCAGCACCACCAGCAACAGAAGCAGCGCAGCTTACTAAGCTTTTTCTGAGCATCATCGCATCCCACTCTGATGCCTGTTTTTGCTCCTTGTTTTTGCTACGCTTTCGCTTTGTTGCGTCCGAGAGCTTTGACTGCCCGACTGCCTGACTGCCTGCCTGCCTGGCCTGGCCTGCCTACCATCCGTGGTGGAAGAGGAAGAACTACTGTACTTTGGCGGTCATGTTTTTATTGCGATTTATATCCTTTTTTTTTGGAGTGGTGGAGGAGTTTGCTTTGTTTGGAATTTTTCGAGTTTTAAAATATTCATTTCTCACTTTTTTGCACTCCCCCACAGCACGCACTTGGCGTATCTTTCCTCTCCCTCTTTCACACTAACTCTATCTCTGTCTCTGTCGCTTAGATTATGTCATAATTTGGTTTTGGGAAAGGACTAAACAATGCCGGAATTTTTGACAATTGAACCTCTCTCTTCATATCATATCTCTTTCGCTCCGCCCGGCAGGCAATGAATGAATCACATTTCGTTTTCATTTGATTTGCCGCAAACACACACACACGCACACACATAGATCCACTATCCATCTTTCTCTTTCTGTCTCTGTGCACGCATTGCACCGGCTCCTGTTGCCCGCGTCGCCCCCGTCTTTATGTTTGCCTTTGCTGTGCCTTTTCTGTTGTTGCTTTGCTACCTTTGTTTTGTGTTGTTTTTTCTTTGCATTTCCGTTTTACGTTTGTATTTCGTATTGCCTTTGCACTCTCACACGCACACGCACACGGACAGCGCCGCTCAAATCAACGGAATTACGCGCACAATTCGCCCAAAGCTTTGTTGTTTGGCATTTTTTGTTTGTTGCTTTGTCGCCCCGCTTGGCCAAAGATACTAAATATGCACGTCTCGCAAAAATCACTGCGATTCAAAGATTCGGTTGCCAGATTCAAAGATACTACGTCTACGCGGAGGCGGCGCTGGCGCTGGGGATTACAACGAAATAGCGAACGCGGGCCCGCAGCTTTCCCACCGAGCGGAGCAAACACGTCCAAACATGTACGCCATTCCAAAGGGGAATTGGCGCTCAGGCAATATAAAAACTTTTAAAACTCATATCATGGGAAACCCGCACGTCGCTCCCAGTAGCAGGGTGTGCTTGGAAAACAAGGTGGTGTACAGCCACCTAAACTGTTGTCTGGAATCGTGCGAAGCTCCACCTTGTTGTACGAATACACCCTGTCGGTAGTGCTCGAGCAGCTTGCCGAAGGCTTACGAGCAGCATTTCACAAAAGCCGAGAGTGTGCGAGTTTCATGTGAATCCAGTAGCATGTTAAGTTAAATCGCTCTCTTTGCTTTGCCACAAACGAGCTTTTGCGTAAGCTTGCATTTATTTGCCGGCATTTTTGTTTGCGCCGGCTGCGTACGAAATTTCAATGGCAACGTCGGCGTCGACGCCAAAAGCTCCGCATCTGGAGAGCATGAATGAAACGAAAGCAAAAAGCGCAAAAACAAACAAAAGCAGTGGGCTGCCAGACTGTGCTAAGATATGGAAAGGATATACTCCATTTCGATTCTCGTTCTATTGAGCTGCAGTAACCGATCCAACCGATCCACTTTTCCAGAGGATCCAGAGTTAGGAAACAATGATTATATTATTGCAGTTACTAATGTGGTCATCTTTTACTTTAGTTGTTGGATTTTCGTCCAGTTAGTTGAATGGGACAAAATCTTACTTTTAGCAAAAATTCAACAATTTTATCCATTCGATTTCTGATTTAACAAATCGAACAAATCAATTATCAGTTTTAAAACTCTGACCGACACAGATTTCAATTCCTTTTGTTAATTAACATATTCAATAGCTCAAAAACGAATCTTTTGCGGGCCTCCTATGATATCTTTTGCAATCCTCTGATGGTACTTATGGTACATAGATTAGTTTTTATTTATAGTAAATTTAAAAAAAAATTCCTGAGTAAATCATTCTTAAAAGCCCGCTATAAAATAATAATCGATGTTTAGTATATTATAATGCACACATTAATTTAAAATGAATACTGCGGATTGCTAGGATAAGCCGCAAGCCCCTCATACAGTTCTTGGCCTTTGAAAAATTGATCGCCACTTGTCGAATGCCTTGTGCCCGTTTTGAAGTCCGTTCACGATAGTTTTGCGAGACTTTGGTAGACGCTCGTTTTTTGTCCGGTAAACGCTCTTTTCGGAGTCCGTCTGCGAGCATTTAGCTAGTCTTCACTCATTCCTCGCGGATATTTATCATTTCCATTTAGGAAAATTTTATGATAGTTCCATTATTTTTATCGCTCTTTGGTCCACTGGGAAAAAATTAACCAACTAGAATTCCACTCCAAAAAATATTTACACCGTGTCACTAACGTGTAAATGATATGTAATGTAAATGTATAATGTAAAATCCAATCAGGAGAAAAAACCCTTTGAAAAGTACAGTAAAGTTTGCATTTATTGAACGGTCTTCAGTACAGAGATTGGGACACGATTTATACAATGGCCGTTGAGTGTAAAATGTCGCGAATTGGTGGAACGAAAGTTTTCGATTTGATGTGATAGTCAAAATGCCTTAAACTCTACTCTAATCGGAGTCGGAGCGGGTGGATGCCTTCTTGGACTTTTTATGCTTACGCTTCTTGTCGCGATGCCGATCCTCGTGGCTGCTGTCGCGCTTGCCGCGACTGGACGAGGGCTGTTCGGGTCCTGTTGCAGCCCCGGCTCCTGGTGCAATTCCACCGCCACTCCGATCCTCCTCGTGCAGTTTCTTGAGGGTCTCCGCCTTGAGGCGCTCCAGCTCGCTCAGCTCTCGGGTGGTGCGCTCCTTCTCGATATCGTCCTGTCGCTGCTTTTCGGCTCGGCGCTCCTCCTCTTTGGCTATCTCCTTTCGCATGTGCTCCTTCAGCAGCAGGGCTGCCTCGGCTCGCTTCTGCATCTTTTCGCGCGCCGCCTTCTCACGGTCCTCGTCCATGGGCAGGGCCGATGTCAGCTTGGGCAACGGGCTGCTGCGTGATCGGCGCCGGGATCTGCTGTTGCTGCGCGAGGAGCTGTGCCGGCGGCCACCACGACTGCGGCTGCGCCGATGCTCGGGCGAGGAATCATGACGCCTTCGTCCGGTTGAGTCTTGCCGCCTTTTTGGCGGCGAGTCCTGTTTTTGCTTTCTGTTTACCGGCGACTCCTGCCGCTTGCGTACTGGCGAGTCCTGGCGCTTCCTTGCCGCCGGCGACGACTCCTGGCGGCGTCGATCTGTTGGTGGGGACTCTTGGCGACGTCTGTCTGTAGATTCCTGACGCCTGTGATTCGGGGCCGGCGATTCCTGGCGACGGCGATCGGGTGTTTGCTGTCGCCGTCCACGGCTGCGGGAACGCTGCTGTCGGCGACGATCGCCGACTGGCGATGATCCTCGTCCCCGAATGGGCGACAGGGGAAAGCGATTCTTGTAATCGTCCTGAGAGCGCGAGCGACGGCGACGGCCTCCGTCGGAAAAGGGATTGCGGCGATTGCGATTCATCTGATGCTGCTGGTTCTGATGCTGGTTCTGGAACTGATTCTGATGTGGATTCTGATGCGGATTCTGATGCTGGCCCTGATTATTGTTGCCCCCCTGGCCCCGCCGCCCCGGCGACGACCACTGCGCCCGCCGAGGCGGGGACCGACGCGAACGCTGGCCAGAACGGGAGCGACTCTTCTGATTGCGATTGCTGCGCGACGGCTGCGAGGCGGAGCGCTCACGGGTGCGCCTGGACGGCTGTCGATCGCGGTCCCTGGGCTTCTCTTCGTTCTTGCGTTCGTCACGCTTGGATCGGCTGTCGTCGCGGTCCTTCTTCTGTGGCGCCTCTGTCTTGGACTCGGACTTGCTTGGTTTCTTCAACTCCTTGACGGGCACCACCTCGGGGGGCTCGGGCTCTGGCTCGCTATCCGTCTGCTGTTCATAGTCCAGGGCATTCATGTCCATCGACTTTCGACGCTTGGGTGGTGGCGCAGCAGTCTCCTCTTTTGGCTTCTCCTTTGCTTCCTTTGCCTTGCGGTCGGGCTCCTTGCTGGTCGTGGCCTTGCCACTGCTGCCCTTATGATCGGGTGTTCTGTCCGGCGTCAGTTTGCCGCCGTAGGTGCTGGCATGCGACAGCTCAAAGAAGGACTTTTTGGGGTTCTTGATGGCCTCCTCGTGGCGCTTCTTGCGCTCATGCTCGCGCCGCTTTGTCTCCTCCTCCCGCATCTTGCTCTCCTCCTCGATGCGCTCCAGATCCGAGAGCTTAATGGTCCGCTTCTGGGCATGTTTCCAGTGCGGCGGCGTATTGCTTCTCGAGCGACTGCGCGAGGGCGTGCGAAAACGCTGGAAAAGTAATTCGAATTTGAGTTTTTCTCTTTTTTTTCTTTCTTTTTTTCGACTTACAAACACGCCGCGACCCTTGACGATGCGGCCACTGCGAGATGTGGGCGGCGGCTGCTTCTTTGACCACCCAAATGCATTCCGATTACGGTCCCGCTCGCGTTCACGATCCTTGCCCCGATCGCGATTGCGTTCACGGTCCAAATCCCGGCCATAGCCGAGATCTTCGCGCACCTCACGCTCCTCCCGCTCCCTGGACCGAGACTTTTCGCTGCGCATGAGAAATTTGTTCGATACCTGGAAACGGAACCAAAAAAAGGTTCTTCATTTGTGAATGGTATACTTTTTGGAGGGGTCTGTACCTCTGGTATCTCGTTAGGATCTATCTTGGTGATGGTGACCAAAGGATGCAGTTCACCTTCCTCTTGTTCCTCCTCGCCATTGTCTGAATGATGCTGGGCATGGCGGCCATTACCGCGTCCCTTATCGCTGCTGTTTTGGGGATTTGAAACATAAAAGTAGGGGAAATCCATAAAAGAAGTTACTAAAAACATACTCTTCGCTCTCGCTGGCCTTTGCCTCCTTGCGGCGCTTCTTCTTTTTGTCCTTGCGCTGCTGTGTCTTAGCCTCCGCCTCGCTCTCCCCGCTGTTTGTGTCCTCTGTGGCCGTGGAGCGCTTTCTACGCTTCTTCTCCTTTTTGGCTGTGGAAAGAGGATAAATATTACGGAATGAGAATTCCTCTGCTTGGCTGGAAATACCCACTCACCCTTTGTCTGTTTGATTAGCTCGCCGCAATTGGCGATGGCCGCATCCTGCAGTGGTCGCGAATTCCTGTCAACGGGCAGCTCTTCCAATTGCCGGACCAACTCCTGCCCGGTTATAACTTGGCCAAATACAACATGGAGACTGCAAACAGAATTCCAATTAGAATCATTCATTTTTGTCTGCATAAAATACTCACTTGTCCAAATGTGGCGCAGGCTGTGTTGTACTACAATGAGAAACAGAAGAAGAGAAAAGATATTCTTTACACTTTGCTAACTTTTTTGGGTTGTTGTTGTTGTTGTTGTTGGTTGTTGCTGTTGTTGTTGCAGTTGACAGTTGGCTGTTCTTTCGGTTATTCGTTGTTTTGTTGCAGAGACAATGCCTTGTGCAACAAAGTAAAAGATATCAAGGTGCCAGAGCATGGCCAAAGCCTGGCGTGGCCTGGCCTGGCCCGGCCCGGCCTTCAAGTCGCACATCAAGTCGAGTCGGTGGCATCCACGTAGAAGGAGAGAGAGAGACACACACACAGAGAGAGACAGGGAGGGAACCCAGTCAGAGCCAGAGCACCAAAACTCCATCTTTTAGTTGGTTGTCTTTGATGAAGCAGCAGCTAATGGACGATAGGAGGCACGGCACACACGGCACTGCCATCGAGGAGGCGTAGGAGCAGCAGCAGCTGCCGGCCGCCCCAAGACAGACCAGACCCAAAGACGAATGCATTGCAGGGGGGATTGCAGGTGGTGGTGGTGGTGGTGGACGTAGTGGTGGTGGTGTTGAAGGTGGGTCGGTCGGTCAGTCCGCCGCAGCTCAAAAATTCTGCGCGCTAATCCCCGCTAAATGGCAATAGATTAATGAACAACAACAGATGTTTAAAATTGATCAAATAATATGGTTTAGAAACGGGCTGACGACTGGAACAGAACTGGAAAGATAATATATATGGCATGGGGGTTAGCTTGGGGCCTGGGAGCGAGGCGGACTTACATAAAGAATTGCGAGCCATTGGTGTCCTTGCCGCGATTGGCCATCGACAGCAGGAACGGGCGGTCGTGCTTCTTATCGAAGCTTTCATCTGTCAAAAAAGACAACCCAAAAGTCGGTCTTTAATTATTGATTTTTTCCAATGCACAAATACACGCACACAAGCGCGAGAGCATATACATATACACACACAAAAGAGAGGAAGAGAGACGCGTGCTTACCCTCAAATGTGCCGCCATAAATCGACTCGCCGCCGGTACCGTTGCCTGCACTGAAATCCCCCGCTTGGACCATAAAATCCTTCACCACTCGATGGAATATGGCCCCCTTGTAGTGCAGTTTTTTCTCTGTGACCAGACCCAGGCCCTTTTCGCCCGTGCAAAGGGAGCGAAAATTCTCCGCAGTTTTGGGAGCCACATCGCCAAACAGTTCGAAAACAATGCGACCGACGGGCAGACCGCCGAGCGTTATATCAAAGAAACAACGCGGACGCGTAGCACTCGCGTCGCGCTTATTTACGGTCATTTTTTATATTTATTTAATCACTTTGTACGAACAGAATTATATTTTGACAAAATTTTCACGAGTTTTTCGCGTTGCACAATTGCACCAGTGTGGCCGTTATCGATGAAATATACCGTCGAACCCTCAGCAATATACCGTCTCATCCTACAAATATACCGTAAATATACTGACGAATTCAAGATCTATTAATATTTGCTTGCTTTTAATATTCCCCCGAATAACTAGCTAGATAGAGCCCCTCAGCCCTGCCCACATAATATTATCCAATTAATGACCCTATTCTCTACTTGACTGTCCTTTTTGAAATACTTGCTTTTATTTGCCAAAAAAATGTTTTGGCGAAAAAGGTCAAACAAAAAAACGTAAAAGAGTAATCGTTCCAATTGCTCAATTTTGATATTCCATTAAATAATTCTGGCTAACTAAGATCTTTAGCTCTGCCCACATAGTTTTATCCCATTGATGAATAAATTTTCTACAAGATTGGATAGTTTTTAATCCTTGCTTTTATTGTATTTATTGTAAAAAAAGGTTTAAACGAAAAAGTTCAACAAAAAAAGAATCGCTACATTGCGTGTAAGCCGAAGTATAGGCCTTTGTATACCCTATTTTGTTAATTTTATATGAAAGTATAAATATTGATATGAAGATAAAACGTAACTAACAAAGACCTTTTCTCAAATTGACATTTGTTAGACATATTCATGTATATGATGAGTTCTATATTTATATCTCGATCCTGATACCTATTCTTGGTCCCTACAAGAAGACAATAAGCTTTAAAATATCGTTGTAATATTGAAAATAATATTAAATATTGAATAAAATATAAATAAATTGTTTTTGCCTGGGATGACAAACATATTCACAATTCTATAACATCAATTTCCCCCAGGGTATGTGTGCATGGATTTAGCAACATTTGTGTATGGAATGGGACTCTTGTCGTCAACCGGTTATGACGACTAATTCCTGAATATTCTTTCTTCCGTCGAATATTCTCAGCTATATAGATCTCCCAGTTTTGCCCAGATAATTTTATATGATTGCTGAATCAATTTTGATCAGGATTAACTACTTTTAAGTACTTGCATGTTTTTTGTTTTGACAAAAACACGGTTTCAACAAAAGTGTTCAATAGTCGCATAGTTCAATTTTCAGACTCATTTGCTGTCAACCAGGGTATGGGCGTTTGGCATCAGCTGTGAATCGAAAAATCACTCAAAAAAGAGAAAATCGAAAACGGTTATCGATACTATCGACGGGTGCGCGCCAGAGATTTAAATTTTTTGAATATGAAATAATCGATTCGCTTAGTGATTAGATTAAAGAATAATGGTCGGATTCTCGAAAAAAATATGTTTTCGATCGGTAGCCAGTTGCGAAGCTGGTAGGCCTGCGAGAAGTCATATAGAATTAAATTAAAGCTGCCCGAAATATATAAAGTTCGTCTGGCTATTAGCGATTTCAGCATATCCGCAAACGGTCACACCCATAAGCCAATGTTTACAAGACGGACTGCGTGTGTGGGTGCGTGCGCATGATTGTGTGCGTGTGTGTGTGTTTGTGTGGTGTTGTGGGGTGGCAGCGGCGGAAGACGTGTTCTTAGGCGAAATTTATCACGAAAACAGAAAAATTCCAGCAACTTGCGCGATAATAAGCGCCAACAACAAAGCCAATCGTATGTGTCGTATGTACGGAGTGCAACTGACACATCATTTTACATAAAGAAGCGGCTTATCGTCGACGTGTACTCGAAGCGAGAATACAGCTCCCAGAACTCAGAACCCTAGTGGAAAAAAGAAGATAATGTGTGGCATTTTCGCGTACCTCAACTACCTGACGCCCAAGTCGCGCCAGCAGGTGCTGGAGCTCCTGCTGCAGGGCTTGAAACGTCTGGAGTATCGCGGCTACGACTCCACGGGCGTGGCCATTGATGGGCCCAGCGCGGGCGACGACATCCTTCTGGTGAAACGCACCGGCAAGGTCAAGGTGCTGGAGGATGCCATAGCGGAGGTGTGTCGCGGCGAGGGCTACAGCCAGCCCGTGGACATCCATATTGGCATCGCGCACACGCGCTGGGCCACGCACGGCGTTCCCTCGGAACTGAATTCGCATCCCCAGCGATCGGATGTGGAGAACAGCTTTGTGGTGGTCCACAATGGCATCATCACCAACTACAAGGACGTGAAGACGCTGCTGGAGAAGCGCGGCTATGTCTTCGAGTCGGAAACGGACACGGAGGTGATTGCCAAGCTCGTGCATCACCTCTGGCAAACGCACCCCGGCTACACCTTTGGGGAGCTGGTGGAGCAGGCCATTCAGCAGCTGGAGGGCGCCTTTGCCATTGCCTTCAAGTCGAAGCACTTTCCCGGCGAGTGCGTCGCCTCGCGTCGCGGCTCTCCGCTTCTGGTGGGCATCAAGGCCAAGACAAAGCTGGCCACGGACCATGTGCCCATCCTGTACGCCAAGGCCCATCGTCCGATTGGCCTGCCGTTCCCAGTGCTGCACCCTGGCGGTGATGGCACTGCCGAATTCCAGCCCCTGGAGCACAAAGAGGTGGAGTACTTCTTTGCCTCGGACGCATCGGCAGTGATTGAGCACACGAATCGGGTCATCTACCTGGAGGACGATGACGTGGCCGCCGTCAAGCGGGACGGTACCCTGAGCATCCACCGCCTGAACAAATCGTCGGACGATCCGCATATACGGGAGATCATCACTCTGAAGATGGAGATCCAGCAGATCATGAAGGGCAACTACGACTACTTTATGCTCAAGGAGATCTTCGAGCAGCCCGAGTCGGTGGTCAACACGATGCGCGGACGTGTACGCTTCGACACGCAGACCATTGTGCTGGGCGGCATCAAGGAGTACATCCCAGAGATCAAGCGGTGTCGCCGCCTGATGCTGATTGCCTGCGGCACCTCCTATCACAGTGCCGTGGCCACGCGACAGCTGCTGGAGGAGCTCACCGAACTGCCCGTCATGGTTGAACTGGCCTCCGACTTCCTCGACCGCAACACGCCCATCTTCCGCGACGACGTGTGCTTCTTCATCTCGCAGTCGGGCGAGACGGCCGACACACTGATGTCGCTGCGGTACTGCAAGCAGCGGGGAGCCCTGATTGTCGGGATCACCAACACCGTGGGCAGCAGCATCTGCCGGGAGTCAAACTGCGGCGTGCACATCAATGCAGGGCCGGAGATTGGGGTGGCCTCCACCAAGGCCTACACCTCGCAGTTCATTTCGCTGGTGATGTTCGCTTTGGTGATGTCCGAGGACCGACTGTCGCTGCTGCAGCGGCGGCAGGAGATCATCGCGGGATTGTCGCAGCTGGACGAGCACATCCGATCGGTGCTGAAGCTGAACTCGCAGGTCCAGGAGCTGGCCAAGGAGCTGTACAAGCACAAGTCGCTGCTGATCATGGGCAGGGGCTTCAATTTCGCCACCTGCCTGGAGGGCGCACTCAAGGTCAAGGAGCTGACGTACATGCACAGCGAGGGTATACTCGCGGGGGAGCTGAAGCACGGACCCCTTGCTCTGGTCGACGATGAGATGCCAGTGCTGATGATCGTCACGCGGGATCCCGTCTACACAAAGTGTATGAATGCCCTGCAACAGGTGACCTCGCGGAAGGGGCGACCCATCCTGATCTGCGAGGAGAACGACACCGAGACCATGTCCTTCTCCACGCGTTCGTTGCAGATTCCCCGCACGGTGGACTGCCTGCAGGGCATCCTCACCGTCATACCGCTGCAGCTCCTCTCCTACCACATTGCCGTGCTGCGCGGCTGCGATGTGGACTGTCCCCGGAACCTGGCCAAGTCGGTGACCGTGGAGTAGGCGGAGAAGCATACACAATAATAATTCCATTTGCTGGGCATGATACGATGATGCCTGGAGGAATCCTTTATTCGTAACCAATTAGATTTAAGTTGAACATTTTTCGTATTCTCGCATCTTCCCGATCCGCCATCCATTGCTTCAATGGACCCGGATTCCCTCACCGCTGTGACCCTTTTTTGTTTTGCATTTTGTAGAGTATATTTTAACCTGTTTGTGCGCTGTGCTGTAAAGCGATTATTCTTCTGTGGATGTGCAATTGAAATATAAGTATTTCCAGAAATACGTATCTTTAAAAAAGCTTCCTATGCTTTATTCCATTCAGGATGACGACAGTGTCGGGGAAATGCGCAGGAATCTACCCGATAAAGGCGCTTATTGGTTGGAATAGTCGCCGTTTTCAGCCAAAGTGAAATTCGGAGCCTGTCTCCCAATTTTCAAATGTTTCCGGGGAGGAACTAAAATTGTGGAGGAAAACACCATATGCTGTATACATATCCAAACATATGTATATATTTAGCATATAAAACCATATTTTAAAAAAGTCATCATTAATACAGAATTAGTTAGTTAGGTTAGGTTTGAGTCGGAAGTGGGATGGGACGGGTTAAATGAACAAAACGCATAACATTTATGGACCTGCGTTGCCCGAACCCGAATCCGTACTGCTATAAACTCCTATAACCCGTTTTCGACACATGCAGATGTTCCTGATATTTACTTTCTTCCTTAATTAAATGTCTAAATGTTCTATCTAGCTAGTAATATTATCCGGAACATCAAATTTGAGCAATATGGTTTCCAATCCTTGACGTAGAACGATTATCCCATTATAAGCCCAAGGGGTATTTTAATATTCTACCGAAAATAATGAACATATAATAACTTACAAACAGTAATATTTTCCGACATTTACCTCAAGAAGTTGAACTATTTAAATAGAGGGGCTTAAGCGGGCTTAGTTCGTTTTTTTCATCATGTTTCGAAAATGAGAAGGTATTTTCGGCGTATTTCGGTATATTTCCGATGGTATGCGGTCACACTGCAGCTCTCTTCTGCAACGATTAAATGAGTCGTAATTTTGAACGGCCTTTTGAAAAGTGCAAGCAGAGCAACCAGAGAAAATTGCAAGGTTCGTTTTACGAAAAAAATAGCGAGAAGGCAAAATAGGCTTTATGTCTCAAAGGTATGTTAGTCAAAAGGGGTGTATTTTACCTGGAACTCGTTGCATTTTCTGTGAACCGTTGCCTGTTGTCCATACCCCATGTTTCCTCAAAAGTTTCCCAGCGAGTAGTGCGCCCCAGCGAGTACCCCCAAAAGCGGATTGACGAATTCAGCCTTTTTCGCCTCTCGCCGCGGCCCGTAAACAGCGACAGCACATGTTCGAGTTCAGAAATTTCCGAAAAACCACATGTCTGGGCACCAAGATTTTACAATATTTCTCTTTTCGGCGGTATAATGCGGCAAAGTGCTGCAGAAATATAGCAGATCGCTAGATCAACTGCACGGTAACGACAAACAATTGAAAAATCATTTCAATTTGCGACACAATTGTGTGAAAAATCACATTCGGGGCAATATTCGTAACCAAAACGTTCTACCACACTAGCGCGTGAGTGAGTGTGAGCGAGAGGGCGAGTGCAAAGTGTGCGACGAGTGAGAGAGAAAAGAAAACCCGCAAAAGCCAAAAGCATACGAAACAAAAGCAACAACAACAACAGCAGCAGCGTAAGAAGTGCGTAGTGAAGAGTGAACGCAAAGCAGAGCCAAAGTAGTGTAAAGCAGTGAGAGCGCGGCGCACAAGCACAAGTCGGCAAGAAGGGAAAGGGAATTTGTGTACCACAATTCTTTCTTCTTTTTGTGGCAGGCTCTCCGCGTGTTGTTGTTTGTCCTCTTTTGCAACCCGAATAGGAGCAACTCCACGTATTTTGAATTTCCATTATTGGTGCGTATTAGTGTTTAGTGTGTGTGTATGTGTGTGTGTGTGTGGTATACTTTTAGGTTGTGTTGTGTCCCGCGTGCATCTTTTGAAATCTGAGGCGAGTTGCAGTCCAATCAGCTGTTTATCAGCCAGGGCTGCAAGCTGCTGCTGCTTGCAGTGCATTGTTATTGCATAATCGGCAGATAATGCAATTTCCCAGCATTTGTTTATTGTTAGCACGCAACAACAATTATTACAACAACCAACTGTTGCACATGTTCTCTCTCGTTTGTTATTGTCTTTTGTTCGTGTTCTGTTTCGCTTCTGATTAAACTCCAACGCAGCGTAACGTAACGTAAGCCGAAACGTAAGCCCAGCAAGTGGACAGGGCGTCGCTGCTTGCCAGCCCTCGTCTGTGTGTGCGGCTGCCTTCTATAGTGTGGGTACGTCTTAACCTCACTTCTCGTTGGCCTGGCTGCTGCCTGCTGCATAATAATACATTTCAGTCGGTGCGCTCTCTCCTCGCCTCCATTTCGATTTGTCGTGCCTCATTACCTTTGGCCTGGTGCTATAGCTCTGTCCAGAACAAACCAACAAGAGGTGGAAATCCGATTCGCAAAGCAGCGTGAAAATTGCCATTGAATTTTGGATCTCGTAGGCGGTGTGGAGCGTGTGTGTGTGCGATGTGCCCCCAAACCTCGTAGCGCTCCCCAGCCTAGGCGAGGCTTCATCAGCACCACTATGGCCAGTGCATAATGATAGACGTGCTCGGGAGGCTCTACATTTATCCAGTTCTGCTGTGTGTCCTCTGCTAAAAAGGTCAAAGTGCACAGCATTAGTAGGGCTCTGTATGCGTATACGAATGCGTATGTGTGTGTGTATGTATCTATGTGAGCTGCAGCTGCGGCAACAACAAAAACAACAAGAACCATGAACTAACCTGATTACGTTCGCACTCTCATCGTTACAGTTTGAAGAACCTCCAACATCGATCTAGTGGAATATTTTTCTGACACGACGACGAATCATCGTGACAGGACAAGGAAGCAACCAAGGAGCACCGACCTGTACCTGGATCAGAAAATCAGAAGCCGCAGGAACTGCAGCAGCAGCTACCAGCATCTGAACCTGGAGTAGCGCATAGTGCTGCCTACTCTGGAGACGAAGGCACAGCCACAACCAGCGAGCATGTCCAGCAAAGAGGAGATGCCGTCCTCTGGGGCCGCTGTTGTGGGCGGTGCCACCGCAGCCACCACACCCAGTGCCGCTAGCAGCACCTCGTATGCCAACGTTGTCCAGAATCTGGACACCAAAAAGGGAGGTGTCCCAGTCGCCACTGCAGCTGCCGCTGCCGCTGCCTCATCCTCAGCCGTCGACAATAAGGAGAACCAACCAAATCTGAAGAGCCTCAAGTCGTGGAGTGAGGAAACCGCTGCCGCTGAAGCCGCTGGCGAAACTCTAGTCAGCAATGTCAGCCTGGCGCTGACCGGCGAGAAGCGTGCTGCCGCCGGTGGCGACAATACCGCCGAGAACTCATCCGAACTGGACGACAACAATGACTTTGTGCCGGTGCTATCCCATCATAGGCGGGACCGCAAAAAGGCCCGCAAGGACAAGCCCCGTGAGCAGCGCATCGACAGGCCGCAGCAGCAGCAACAGCATCCAGGCAGTGGCGCTGGTCAGAATCAGAAACCACTGCAGCCCGGCAGACGACCAGCTGGAAACGGAAATGGAAATGGCAATGGCAATGGTGGTGCCTCTGATGGGGCCACCGATCGCAAGGCAACGGTCCGTCCACGGGCTCCACGCGGCGGCAGTCCACGCAAATCGGGTGCACCCGGTGGCGTCACAGGAGCTGCTGTCGTCAGTGGGAAGGTACAACACAAGGATCGCAAATCGGACACCTCACCCAGTGCTAGCCTCGAGGCCAATAGCAGCGGCAACGAGGCCAAATCCGGAGACGGCGAATCGCAGGCGGCCGCAGGAGCAGCAGCCGGTGGCGCAGCACCAGCTGCAGCAGCTCCTCCACCCAAGCGATTCGTAGCAGCGCCACCGCCTAAAGTCAATGCCTGGAAGGTGAGTAAAGGAATTCTTTAAATTGTTCAAAGACCAGAGCCTGAAAGTGGTTTCATTTATTCTATAATTAGAGGATCTACAAATGTTCTAAGAATTTGAATATTTTCGTAATATTTCACTAGAAACACTTGCCGTCGTATGGCTTTAGTATTGATTATTTTTAGGTCCCGTTTTGGTATAAGGGATCTCTGGGGAACCTGCCTTTCGGTGGAAAACAATCCTCTTCGAGATTGTGTCATCGAATGCGTTATTTTCCCCTTTTTTGGCCTGGAGGCAGTAATTTTTCTTTGCTAATTCCATAGGGAATTTGGGGATGTCCCCACCTCCACCCCCACCAATTTTCGGTATTAGGCAACACTATTCAAATCGATGCGCACGTTTTTCTCGGGTTACAATTTGATTTTGGTTTTGATTTTTTTGTTTTGCTTTCCTTCTCTTTTTGTCGGAATTGCGTCTTAAAATGTGATGGAATGGAACGTAAAAACAATGTCCATACATGTGTGTGTGTGGCTCTGCATGCGGTGTGTGTGTGTGTGTGTGTGTACGTTTTCTGTTGGTAAACAAATGTGCGTAGAATGACATAGACGAAGCGACAGAGCAAAGCAAGCCAGCTGATGAACACGAATGCAAGGCAAACAGCCCGAAGAAGCGTAATGGAAACACGTTTTCCGTTCCGCGGTGTTGTTTTTGTTGTTGTTGGGCCCACGAAGATTACCAAATTGTATCTCATAGATAAATTGCATAATATACGAAACGAATAGCAAAAAACCAAAAACATTTGCCAAAACAAAGCAAAAAGAACCGAACAGAATCAAGAAAGAGAGAAACAAACACACACAAACCTTTTTTGTTGCGCTTCGTTTATTTTTTATTTATATTTTGTGTATTATGCAACGCTAAAATGAAAAGAAAATGGCAAAAAAGACGCCGGCCCACCCTCCCCCTTTGGCTTGTTTGTTGGTTTTTTTTATAGACATTTTTATTCTTGTTTAATTCTTTCAATTTCCTTTTCATGCTCTTTCTTCCAATTTAGTTATTTTTTTGTTTAATAATTTCTATTCCATTTGGCATCTGGTTTTTTGTTGTTGTTGGTTGTCGCAGCGAACGAGAGAAAAAGTAAAATATATTTTGCAACTAAAAATAAATGTCAAGGTCAGCCGTATATCTGTATTTTACCCACCCACCCCAAACGAAACGTAAGCATAAAGCAGAGAAGTAAAAAAAAGGTGAAATAAAGGGAAATCCATTTCGAGCAAAAGAAGGCGTGGCTAATTCTTCTTTCTACCGGAAAGTTAGAGCTGGTAACGAGTTAGAGATTTGCTTTCTATCACGTTTCTTGGTTTCCCCTCAACCACCCTCCCCTGCTCCAATGCAAATCAGTAGCTCACTTTTGACATTCTTTTGCATATGCTAATTTCCGACTAATTAGGAAGCAAAAACAACAACCACATAAGAAGAAGAAGCTTTATTTTAAACCTTCTCTTTGAGACTTGTTCAACTGTTGCCAAGGCGAGCCACTACTTCCCCTACGATTTGCTTCCGCTGATATCGGTCTACAGGCTACAGGCAGCAAGCAGATCACTCCATTACTGTCAGCAAGCAGTTCAGTTCACTCCATTAGTGATAGCAAGCAGTTGGATCCGTTACTGAAAGCAAGCTGTTTACTCCGTTACTGAGAGCAATCTCCTGTGTTGGAGAGCATCAAACGTAAAAGGAAGCAGTTCAATTTGCATGTGGAAAACAGCATACTGCTTTTATATCTTGCCTTAATTATGTTTGTTTTGTTTTGTTCTTTTCAAATGTCATGCTGTCTTAACCGATTGGGCTTGCTTTGGTTCAATTCTTGTTTTAGCCCAAAACACGACGTCTACGTTTCACGCCTCTGCCTCTGCAATAGTGCAACGCGGCGGCAGCGTAAAGCGTATCCAAATTCAAAAGTCCACGCCAGTACCCGTTGACGTGTTCCATTGAAGAGTTCGGTAGCCCGCCCGGTTGTTTCGATTAGACGAGAAACGAATATTAATTATTTAAACTATTATTATTAGCAAGTGTTTGCTGCGGTGGTGATCGCGAATTAGCACGCGAAAACGGCACGTGTTCTCGGAACAGCCACGTAAAACGTAGTCACTAACGTGTGGTTGGGTCCACTGTTGCGAAGCGATTAACAATAAATAAAGAAATTATAATAATACACATACAGAAAAGAATAACGTTGAAAACGTGGAAGTTATAACTCGATATACATATGTATATGTGGCATATATACACTTGTTGATATCAGCGGCGTGAGTGCAAAAGTGTTTATGTGTGCGCTCTCTCTCGCTCTCTCTGTGTCGTATGTGTGCCATTTCTCGTTCCGTCAGAGCATTACGTTTACGTTGTCTCGTAAGGCTGATTTGTTCCGTTAGAGAGTGATAGTTGTCGAGACCCTCTCTCTGGTTCTCTTTCCATCCGAGTACAGTAATCAAGAGGAAGAAGCACAAAACAATCAAAAACATGAAAACGAAAGTAAATATATGCAATCATCTTAACAACTTAATGACTGTTTCGTGTGATGTGTGTGTACATATATGTATTATATTAGAACTTATTCATAGATTAATGAAATGTGTGTCACAGCTAGAGATGGTCAGGGGCTTCGGGCTCTAAGGGAAACGCTAAGAAATATGTAAAAATCCAACCAAGAAAAAGCAAATCGGACTTATCTTCAAGGAATTTTATGATTTTTTTTTGTTTAGTTTTCTAAAACATTTTGTTTTATAAATAATATAAATTCACAGCTAAAAAATTATATTTGTTGATCCAAAACAACAAAGGAAACTCTACAAATGCAATCCAAGAAACTCGTCTAAGTATTATACGTTATCATATTTGTTATTGTTTTTCTTCTTCTTTTTTTTATTATTATTAAACAACAACAGTCCGGTCTCTAGTTACGTTCTATTTATAAACATTTATAGGGCGATCGGGGCTTACAAATTGTAATCCGTCTCAATTAACGTCGCTGACACTATCACGTTGCAGATCGTCGACGAGGTCCCCCGGTGGGGTATTCATTAGTCAAACCCAGATGTGAAATTTAATGCTTTGAGGGAATATTTTCCACTCCACCATTCGAAATATTTACATATCTACATACCTCTCTATAAGGTTTTTAGTTACGCTTGGCTCTCAAATTATTTTGAATGCAAAAATTTTACATTTGTTTTATTTATGTATTACCAAAGACTATACAATAGTATAGTATAGTATAGTATAATAGGTATTGTATAGTCTTTGGTATTACCCACTTCTCTGGTTATGTAATGTCTGTATGTAAATGGGATCTGCTGAGACTGCAGATCAGATTATATATACGGTACGGTATATGCCTTTTGTTGCGGATTTTCATATTCGTTTTGCTTTCATTGTCGCACCATTACTTGTGGGGACTTCCTATTTCTTTGTGCTGGAAATCTTAACGACTATCATCTGTTTTCTTTGAAAAAGACTGAAATGAATCTGATAAGAATTTATTTTTTCCTCTTCTTTCTTCGGATAAGAGTTCCTTATACCATTTCCTTTCTTTGTATAGGAGTTTCTTATACAATTTTCTTTCTTTGGATAAGAGTTCCTTATACCATTTTCTTTCTTTGTATGGGAGTTCCTTATACCATTTTCTTTCTTTGTATGGGAGTTCCTTATACCATTTTCATTCTTTGTATAGGAGTTCCTTATACCATTTTCTTTCTTTGGATAAGAGTTCCTTATACCATTTTCTTTCTTTGTATGGGAGTTCCTTATACCATTTTCATTCTTTGTATAGGAGTTCCTTATACAATTTTCTTTCTTTGGATAAGAGTTCCTTATACCATTTTCATTCTTTGTATAGGAGTTCCTTATTCCATTTTCTTTCTTCGCCTAAGTTCTTTATTCCATTACTTTTCTTTAATTATAATTATCCATAAGATCGTTAACCATAATATCATTAGATCATTTTATGGGCAAAGTTGTGTAGATTTAAAAAAATTAATTGAATGTTCTGGAGCTATTTTTTCTTGATCGTCTTTTATGTACCACTAGATGGCAATACCAAAAGAATAATTGAGCACCGGTAGTCAATCGATAGTATATGTAGCGGCCTTGTGAAAAGTATAAACACTTTGAAGACAAAGCGAAATCAAATCAACAAAATATTATAAGATAAGATATCGGCCTTGGCAACTCAATTTATTCGATAACATTCGATTGTACTTTGGGGTTTACCTGAACTTAAAATAAGGTTTTTGGATCGATTGCTTTATACGATATTTATTAGGTTCAACAGATGATTTTTTTTTTTTTTATGCCTTCAAAAATGATTCTTTACCGCAACCCTTACCCTTTTTGATGCAATTTAAACTTTGTTGACTGATAAGTTGCCATATGTACTCTGCAGTATCTATAGTTTTGTATATAAGGAGGTGCCCGCCCGGTGGGGTCTGTTGGCCCAGTGTTGACTCCCTCATGAGCCATTTGTTTGTCTTGGCTTTCAAAAGGCGCTGCCGCAGTTCTTATCAGTTGTTTACTTGTTGATTTTTTGAGTAATTATTTACCGAAAAAGTGAGCCAACTTTATTTTTTGCGCGCCATATTGCTTTTAGGCAGCTTCTGGTATACAAATGTACATATTCATATTCCATATAATAAAGCATTTTGAAGGAAATCCTATCTACCTTTTATATAATTTGAACTATAAAGTTTATTCATCTGGTGATGGCTATCAACTAGTGCCCCTTACTCTATCCATTTTGTGATTCCAATTAGTCACAAAGAAGCCTGAACGTACCAAAACGTGCTGTATAATATTAAATGTGCAATTATTTATTTTAAAAGTACATATACGTATATAGCCGATAAGAATGAAACTTGGAATTCATTGGCATTGCAGGTGCTCTAGTTTCACGGTTTCCATTCGATTCTATTATTATATTATTTATTATTCTATTATTTGTATATTTTATTATTAAACTAAATGTACTAGAAATACGAAGAATGTTCTCGGAAAAGACAAAGTTCTTTTGTAGGAAAATAAAACAGGAATAAAAGGAACAAATTATGGAGTACTCGAAAATACTAGAAATACCAAAAGAACGAGGGATGACCTTAGAACAGATAAAGTTTTTTTTTTCGGAAAAATACTAGTAAAAAAAAAAATAACAAAAATAGTTAGTTATTTTGTATGAAAGAAAATATAATATTCGAATGTACTAGAAATACTAAAAGATCGAAGAATGATCTCAGAATTATTTCATTCAAATAATCTTCGCCACACCCCTGAACCCGCATTCGCATAGAATACATCCCTTAAGACATGATATATCATGATCGAAATTCATGATTTCTACAGTCAAAATACTGTCCATTCATTGTAATGGGGTATAGTCGGGGCATAGAGGGTACTTGAACGTCGAGAACTTCTTTCTAGTTCACTTTCTCGTGTTATTGTTGTGTTTACTTCTTATATTGCTGGCTCGATAAGAGCTCTGCCTGCTACGCACTTAATAAAGTCCGCTCCACCACTCGATGCCAGCGACAATAACAACTTCTATCTCGCTCTCTCTCTCCCATCTGCCCATGCGGCCGGCCCACCCACTCAAACCGACAGCCCACGATCAGTGGCTGTCGCTGAGCGGTGTCACTGGAGTTCGTCGCCACGAAGTCGGATCCGAGCCGACTCTCTACACCCCTCGCGCGAGTCTTTGAGCAATCGCCATTCAGTGTAATCGCTTACTTAATCGCCAATAAAACTAAAAATAGAAAAATAGAAATAAGTAAAGAGAAAAATAGTCATTAAATTGTTTGCGTGCATCACAACGACCTTTTTTGAAATAAATGGAAATATAATTCATGTAAAGCGGAGATTTAATATACTTGTTCTCTCACCTAACTATCTATCTATCTCTCTTTCACTCACCTTACTCACCTTACTATCTCTCTCTCTCTCACTCACCTTACTATCTCTCTCTCTTGATCGGTATTGTCTCTCTCTATCTCCCACTCAACCACGTTTTCTGGCTATTTTTACATACCGGCATTATTACTCGTATTTGAATTTTCTAAAACGCAAAAAATTGTTGATGTGGTGTGCCCTGCCCCCCTTTAACCTCCCACCTCCCAAGTGTTTACCGCGAGAGAAGGTTGACTTGAATCGGGAATGTTGGCCTTTTTGCACGTTTCTATAACTCTCGATCCGGTCCTCGGTCCCCGGTCCCGATCATTGTTTGCTTTATTTTTACCTTTTTTTTTCTGTTTGTATTTATTTACGATTTCATTTGTTGCTATCTTGGTCGGCTCCGATCGCAATTCTAATGCCATTTAAAATAGTAGTTTTCCAATGCAGGCGCCTCAGTTGTCTTTCAGCGATCGACCGTTGTAGAACCTATCATTTATCTATTGATTTCGGAGATATACAAGTGTGAAATTTTGAAAAGCGAAAGTGAATAAAGCTCAATTGATTGGCAAGTTGATGTTTTGTAAATCTTTAAATAATCTGGAATAATCTAGAATGTCAAACCTAGTCCAAAACATTCTGTTTATATTTGAATGTGCCTTTGGTAATTTACAATCTATAGTACAAACAAGAAAAGCTCAAAATAGTTTGAAATACTATTAACTGACTAAAAACTAAGTATTTTTCTTCTGAAAATGGTCCTAAATTTTATTACATAAAATATATTTAAGAAAATTTCAAATAAAAGTAACTTTTGAAGCTATAAATCTACCTCTTATCGAATGACCTTGAATACCATACTTCTAATCGTAAAATTATTGAGCATATTTTAATGACCTCTCTCATGCGTCATCCATCGTTGATGCCGGGAGGTTCAAAATGTCTAATGCGATAAGAAGCATACCCAAAAGTGTATAATTATAGAAACATGTGCTTTGGCACTCGTCCATTAAGTGGATGCGTGGAAAATTAGAACATTTTTTGAATACTTCGGATACACGTTAAGAAAAATTATCCGTTAGTTCACTGAAAGGAATAATTTTAGATTTTTAAAAATTATTCCTTGTAAAACGGAGGTATACAAAGCCACTTTCCATATGGTCTCTCCTCTCTCTCTGTAACCTCCTTTTCAATCTCTTCATTTTGGAGTTTTTCCACCCGTGTGTCGCCATGGTCCCGCTCTCTCGCTCGCTCTCTCTCTCTCCTTTTCGCCTGGCGGCCTACGTGCCGAAAATCACATGTTGTTTTTTTTGTCTCTGCCTCTGTTTTCCCAATGTTACAATTACAGCACGGTGCGAGCGAGATGGCGAAGATCTTTTGTTAATCCGATTTGGCACCTGTTTGGGTGAGGGTTTCCCTGTCGGGTGTTTGAACTTTCAAAAACAATAATATCAAAAGTTTGAATATTGGGCGTATGCATACATATATAGAAAAAACGTATAAAAACAAAACTCAAATTGGATAAACACTTCATCTCACGTACGCACTTAAAGGGAGAGAGAGAGAGAGAAAACCTGTATGCATACAGGGTGCCCGGCCTGCGCTGGCTCTCTCTCTCTCGCCCGGCATTACTTGGCTGCGTCGTCACTCTTCTGGCGCACGCTCTGACCGATTTGCTTGTCGGTTTTTCGCTCTCACTCTCTCATACGCATCCATAAACCGGCGCATAAATATGGGCTGTTTTTTGTTTTTGTTTTGAATCGGCGTGTATTTCAATACCCTGCGAGAGGGTATTATGAGTAGGCCGAATGTTAGAAGCTCTGAATAAGGAAAATAAATAAAAGGGGTTAAAAAACGTATCACTATATGGCTGCCGTATAATAGATGAGGTGCAAATATCATAGTACATATCGACTTGGAAGGGTATCAAGTGAATCGAACCTCAAAGTTAGCTTCTCTCTTGTTTTTATGGTTGCGCTGTAAAAACCAGTTGTTGTTTTTGCTCTTGCTTTCGCTCTTGCTCTCTGCCTCTCTCTCCCTCACTGTTGCAGTTGTTGTTCTCTGCCCTGCCTCCTTTTCTGCCTCTGCTTCTTTGTGCGCCTTGCTTTTGCTTTTGCTCACGTAGCCAGCGCGTGGACAGGCCGCAATGATGGATGGTGGGGGGGATAAGAGGCAGCGACAGCGGCAGCGGCAGCGCCGCCGTGTCGGTGCTCTGCTATGCTCGAAGCGAACAAAACACGACAAGCAGTTCAGCGGAACGGACGTTCAGAATTTCCAGTCAATTGTCAATTGTTTAAATAAAAGTCAACATATAAAAACCCCCACAACTGTGCTAACCCAACCGTACCGTGGAAAAGCAACAAAACACAGCGTACAAGTGTTATATTTGAAGCAAAAACAAACACTGAACATTGCGATAAGCGATTAGCAAAGAAAATCTACAGTGAAAATATCCATGGAAAAAAAACCTTGTTTTAATTAGCCAATTTTCAGGTAATTTTCATAGTGTGTGCTTCCCAAGAACTGCTGGGGATATTGTATACCATATAACGTGATGTGCGCGTTGGCCCCTGCAATGAACCGAAACTGGGTTAGGGACACTCCCCAGCGTAAGAGGGGAAGCGGCGGTCTCTTGGCCCAGAGGTTGAGGTTAGAATCGGAGCCAAGCTGCGCGTGAAGCAATGGGCTACAGGGGGAGTCGGGTTGGCCAAGTGTAGGGTGTCGAGACTCCTAAAACGAAGTTGAATTGATTTTTTGTTTGTTTGCTTTTGGGAGTGAAACCCAAGACGACGCATGTGTCATGATCTAACTATCAGGCAGTGGAAAATTTTCATATTCTCAGATATTGTATACATATCTCTTATTTGGTGTTATGTTGTGTTTGTGCTTCCAGATATCAGCAAAACAGTCGTCGAGCCCCAAGGCAGGAACCTCTCCATTGGACAAGCGTGTGTTGCAGCCAAAGCAGCAGCAATCCCAAACCAAGCAGACGACTGCCAGCAATAATAATATTAGTAATAATAATACTAACCAAGGCGCACAGACTACTACCGGCAGCGGAAGCAGCAGCCAACCCAACAAAAAGACACAACAACAACAACAATCCCAGCAACAACAGGGAGCATCAGCAGCAGCAGCGGCAGCGGCAGCATCAACAGCGACTACTACACAGACAGCAACAAGCAGCAGCGGCAGCAGCAGCACAGCGGCAACCACAGCCCCAGCAACAGCAGTAGCACCACCCGCAGCAGCAGCCCCCATCACTGAGGCAACCACAACAACTGGTGAGTGTTCAAAAGATATATAGAATGGCAATAGATGGACACTACATCAATTAAATTCAAAAACCAAGTGCGCCATAGAGCATCTCAGTAGGGGAGGGCAGGAAATCTTCTGTTTCTTGCCAGAAAATATATAAAGTAAAGAGAAAGACTCGTGTTTTCTGGACAGCAGCGAACCCCCAGCGGCGAAGAGAACGAGCCCTATGCCATCCGCCATGTGACTTTGCTCTCCCCCACATCCATACCCACGCAGACATTCCTCTCATTCTCTCTGTAATGCTCTGTGAGAGTATGTTGAATGGCCTGATTATTTATTTATAAACGCTTTGCATTTCTTATCCACCCCCCACCCAAAAAAATAACCATATAGTAGTGGATGCCAGTCAAGCGGATGCACTTGCCAAAGTCGTGGTAAAGGACAAGAAGAAGGTCAACCAGAAGGTGAGTCAACATCATGAGGTGTCCTCAGCAGCAGAAGCAACAACTGAAAGCCCTTCCCTTCCCCCGTTCCTTCCCGTGTATGTAGGCCAGCGATTTCAGCAACGTTGGTGATTGGCCGACGCTTATTGGAGGAATTTCTGGCAGTGGCAAAGCCACCAGCAACGAACCCAAACGCAACCCAACGAAAAAGCAACCAGCTAAAGCAGCACCCGCAACCAGCGTCACTACAAGTGAAGTTGCCACAGAGTCTAACGTCGCAGGCGCCACTTCCAGCAGCACCAACAGCAGCAGCAGCAGCAGCAGCAGTAGCAGCCAAGCTACAGCCACAGGATCGGCAGGACCAGCAACAGCTACAGCCGGCACGAGCCATGATGCCAAAGCCCAGCGAGAAGCCGAGCTATCCACTGGCAGTGCCACTGCACCAGCTGCTGGCCCCCTTGCCGGCTCTGCCGTCAACAAAAAGATACCCAAGCACAAGTGGCGTCCGCTGCAAATCGATCTGGCCAAGTCCAGTCGCCCTAAGCCCATTGGCGGCCGACCCCATCGGCGACTCAGCGACGATGGCGTCGATCAGCGACGCCCGCCGCGTGTCTACCACGAACGGGGGCCGGCGCCAGCCAATGGCCGGGGTGGAGCTGGAGCCGATGCTACTGCAGCAGCAGCAACGGAGTCCACACGGCCACACAGTGGCCGGCATCCGTACATTGCCCGCACCACGACTGCTCCGACCGAGCGCGTGGATTCCTGGCGTAGCAGCGGCAGCGCCGGCACCAATGCAGTTCCCTACGATGAGCAACGCTCGGGGGGCCCAGGGGCAGCAGCAGCAGGCGGTGCCGGGGCAAGTGCCGTGGTGCGGGGACCGCGACGCTTCCGCACGCCGTACCGGGGCGGGCGGCAGGGCCGGGGTGGATTCACAAGACAGGGACCAGGTCGTCCGACTAATCGCATACCACGCCATCTGCTAGCTTCGGGCGAATATGCAAGCTTTTTGCCAGCGGACGCGGCTGGCGCAGATTCTGCCCAATCCACGTACGTGCTCATGGGCACCCATTACTTTGGCAATGTGCCAGCCTCCTATATCGAAATGGATGCCAACAGCGTCAAGGAGGCACTCAAGAAGCAAGTGTAAGTACACCGGAAGGATCTCTTAATCCACTGATTAAAACAATATTTTTTTAACTCCCGTTTCCTCCCCACAGTGAATACTATTTCAGCTCTGATAATCTTACCGGTGACTTCTTTTTGCGCCGCAAAATGGACCCCGAAGGGTATATACCGGTGACATTGATCGCCTCGTTCCATCGGGTTCTTGCTCTGACCACAGACGTGGCCCTGATTGTGAATGCCATCAAGGAATCGGATAAACTAGAGCTTTTCGAGGGCTACAAGGTGCGCACCAAGACCACGCCCACCGTTTGGCCCATCAGCGATGCACCAGATGCTGCCGGCAAGGATCAGCAGCAGCTGCAGCCGCAGCCGTCGCTGTCAAAACAGGAGACGAACGAGAAGCCATCATCAGAGAAGCAGCAGACTGGGGCGGATGCCGAGGATGCAGCACCGGAGGAGAGTTCACCTCCCGCCATCCTCACATCTGCAATGGCCACCAAGCCACTGAGCAGCATCCCGCCGCCACCGCGGCCGCGCAACTCTCAGAATTTGGTGCCCAAGATGCTGCAGGAGAAGCAGCAGCACCAGCGATCGACGATCAATTCGGTGAATGCCATCAGTGTGCTCACCCAGCAGGTGGAGGGCGGTGCTGCAGAGCTGGCCGGACATTTGAGCGGACTGGCGGAGAGTGTTAAGCCAAAGCCTGATAAGAGGGCGGCACCCAAGGCTGGAACGGGACCAGGAGCAGGAACCGGAAACGGATCAGGGGCTGTTGCTGGCGCTGGTGCTGTTGCTGGGGCAGCTGTTGCTTTGGTTGCGGAGCCGGAGGGCATGTGGAAAGAGGTAAAGAGACGCTCGAAAACAAATGCTTTAAAAGAAAATGCTACTAAATCCTCCACCACCAACAACACGTCCACGACAACACAACAACAACTACAACAACAATCGCTTTCACAAACGCTCAACAACAATAATAATTATAATAATAATACTGTTAAAAATGTCAAAACGAACAACAACAACAAAAACACCACCGTCACCGCAAACGCCACCTCGTCCAAGTCCACGTCCACGTCCACCACGTCCTCGTGTGCATCCAACAACGCCCCATCCAACAACGCCTCATCAACAACAATCACCGCTGCTGTCTCTGTGTCGTCCGCCGCCACCGCTGCCGTCGCTTCCTCTGTCACCGTCACCACAACCACAAAAACCACTACAACCACCACCACCACTACCACCACCACCAACAACAACAACAACAACAACAATAATAAGAAAACATCCTCTGCCAACGCTTCTTACTCCAACACCAATTCGAAATCCTCCTCCTCCTCCTCCAAAACAGCTGCTGCGCCATCCGCTCAGTGCCATGCCGAAAAGGAAGAACTAGACTTTCAATTTGACGAGGAGCTGATGGACCCCATACCCGCCACCGGACGCATCAATAACTTCACCGAAAACTTCTCCGACGATGACGAGAGCGATTACGAATTTGCCGATCGCGATATCAATAAGCTGCTGATTGTCGCCCAGGTGGGGCGACCACCCAAACACGAAGGTTACGATCGCACCGCCGACTTTACCTCACGCACGAAAATCACCCAGGATCTGGAGAACATCATTAACGATGGTCTGGTCAACTACGAGGAGGATCTGTGGACCACCACCAATGTGGTGACCGACTATCGCACCGTCAATGTGATCTCGCAGGCGGATTTCGAAAAGCTAGCTGCCACCGGAGTTGTGCCCAATCGTGGCAAGAGTGCGGCCGTGCAAAAGCAAGTGCCACCACCGCCGCCAGCCTACCTGGAGGATCTGGATGCAGACGACACCCTGGTTGGTGACACTACGCTCAATTCCACGCTGAACTCCACGCTCAAGTCCCGTCGTGCCCGCTTCTATGCTGCCCCCAATTCGCACTCAATTGATCCGCGAACGCCACGCAAACGCAAGCTCCGCCACACGGCCAATCCGCCCGTGGAGGCGCATGTGGGCTGGCTGCTGGACACGGTCGAGCATAGGCCGCGCACAACCTCGATGGGCTCGTCGGCGGGCACATCGCCCACCACCTCGTCGTATGGCTCGTTCGGATCGTCGGTGCCGCAATCGCTGCCCGTTTTCCAGCATCCGTCGCATGCTCTGCTCAAGGAGAACAACTTCACACAGCAGGCCTATCACAAGTATCATTCGCGATGCCTCAAGGAGCGCCGCCGGCTGGGCTTTGGCCAGTCGCAGGAGATGAACACCCTGTATCGCTTCTGGTCGTTCTTCCTGCGCGAGAACTTCAACAAGACGATGTACAATGAGTTCCGCACTTTGGCCCTGGAGGATGCCGGCAACGGGTTCCGCTACGGGTTGGAGTGCCTGTTCCGATTCTTCTCGTACGGCCTGGAGAGGAAGTTCAGGCCGAGCATCTATTTGGATTTCCAGGACGAGACCGTGGCCGACTACGAGACGGGTAAGCATCATTTGGGATTCTCCTCTAACTAGTCGTTTATTAACTTTTCTCCCCCTGTGGCAGGTCAACTGTATGGCCTCGAGAAGTTCTGGGCCTTCCTCAAGTACTACAAGAACAGGGAGAAGCTGGAGGTTCAGCCCAAGCTGGCCGACTATCTGAAGAGCTTCAAGACCATCGAAGATTTCCGTGTGGTGGCGCCAGAGATAGATGAGATGCTGCAGGGTGTGGGCAGCCTGCATCCCGGACGGCAGCTCAACAGGCATCGCAGTGTGTCCGAGAGCGATGGCACCGCCGTGATCACGGCTGGTGGTCGTCGCTTGAACACCACCATCACCAATCGCAGTGACTATGTGGGACGTTTGATCCAGCAGCAGCAGCAGCACCAACAACAGCAGCAGCACCAGTACCAACAACAGCAATATCATCAGGGATACGGCGGTAACCAGAACCGCAGACGCACCGGCTCCTTTGGCAGCAGCACAGTGCGCACTCGTAGCGGTTCGCTGGGCAACAAGCCGCAGGTGGTCCATCGCAACCAAGGATCGCAACACGAGCTGCGACGGGGTGGCAGCAATTCGGGCCTGGCGGTACACAAGCGTCACCATCATCAGCAGCAGCAGCAGAAGCCCAAGCAGCAGGCTCAGGGTATATCACAGACAAATAACACAGTGCGGGCCTCCACATCGGCGGCAGCAGCAGCAGCGGCAACAACAACAGCGCCAGCGATAGTGGCGGCATCAGCAGCAACAGCAGCGACGGCGGCATCAGCGTCGTCCTCGTCATCGTCGCAGAAGTAGAAAACATAAAAATGCAGACACATTTTTTCGATTAGACATAAGTTATTTTGCGACTTAGTTGGGAGCACTCCTCCTCTCTTTTGTTCACTATTCATTCTTATTATTCGTCTGTAGAAGCAGCAGTAGTTGTAGTCGGTTCGAGTCAGGCGTAAAATGGGGAAAGAGGCGTGTCAGTGTGGCCTCTTTAGTAGCATAATTAAGTAAAATTTTTTGAAATTTTGTTTTTTGCAATTTGCCCAACGCGTTGGTTTTAGTAGTAATAATGATTATGATATCTTTCGTTTTCTTTTTTGTCTGCAGTCCCTTGAAAAGAAAAATTTAGCTTATGAAATGCTCAATGTTAGCTGTTCGAACACACAGATACACCCCATACACAGATACAGAAATACAGTGACAAAACACTCGGTAGCCACTAAGCGGGGGTCCCAGTGCCAATCAGCCATGATCTAGAAACTGAATGACTATTATAATAATTATTATATTTTGTTTGTTGAATATTCTGTTTTTTTTTTTCTTTAAATCAGATCTTTTTTTTTCCTACTTGAAGCAGAGCGTTATAAAATAGACGTAATGCCCATCAACTGTTGTACGGTGTGAAAAAAAAATTAAAACCAATAACGATAATCCCTTAAATAACATATTCCCCTAACGAAAAGTGAAAGGAAAGCAAAGCAAAGCGAAACGAAACGAAACGAAACAAAGTTTAATATAAACCATCAGAAACCAAATGATCTGAATTCAAATAAAAACATTTTGTAAATTAAAGCGAAACGTTATATACATACATATATATACGCGCAAGAGCACCTTATATATAATAATATATATATATTCTTATTATTATTATTATTATTTCCCTGTGTGTGACCTAAGCGCAAATGTAATGTAATTTTTTTAAGAGACAACGAGAGAAACCCTTACACTACACACCCAATTGAGGCATGCGGGGCTCAAGTGCCAGCGAATTTTAGTTATGTAAGCATTTAAAGCAAAACCCAATCGCAATCGGAATTAGAGCCGGGGAAAACGGAGACCGAACCGTAGACCGTAGCCTTTGCACACTGCCCCCAAGTCTGTCAATCTATCGTCGAATTGGTCTTACAAAAATAAGTGGAAAAAAACTACACCTCAAAACTTCGTACCCCGCCAAGCATTTAGAAGCATGTCAAAAAACCCATTTATTATTTACGTTTAGTTTTTGCACTTGTTACTTTTTTTAATTCGGAGAAAGAAAAAAAAACGAAAAAAAATTTAAAAAACAGAAAATGTCAAGTCCAAAAAAAGTTGAAAACTTTCTAGAGAACATAAGGCAGAGCAGATCATGCGAATCGAAAAGAAAATCAATCGTAAAATATAACGAAATTTGTTTCGTCTAGTTGGTAAATCATTAAAAAACATTTACAAAAAATGTGAGAAATCAAATGTAAGCTTAATACTGATATTTATCCATATATCTGCGCGTATATCTACAATATCATACATATATACATATAGGGACAGCATCCGACTTTAAAGCGAAAATATAACGCTACGAACTGTGAAGTTAAGTTCGATGCCGTCTGATCAGATACAGTCGAGCAGTTTGCAAAACTCTCGGTCGGCTGAAATAATTCCTCAAGAGCCTAAATCAATGAAATACACAATCGTTCGATCCATCAGCTCCTCGGTAATATGCTTCGCTCATCTAGCCTAAGCAAATACACCCTACACCCCATAACCCCCCTCCCCCACAAAAAATATGAAAAAAGTGCAAAGAACCCTTTCATTAAATATTATTTCTTTATACACACATTAGATATCTGTAAATATATTTCTTCTGCTTTTTAAAATGTCGCCTTATCAATTTTAAAAGCACGCAATCCCTCAGACACCTATTGGCCAGACGCTGCTATACGAGCTTAATGATCTACCAATAATATAGATATAGGTATACCTACATATATCTATCTATCAATCTGTATACCTATCTATTTAGATGCACATCGCTTGATGTCCGACGACAATTCATTAGGCTGTTGCATGATTATATATAGTTTTTGCCACAGCTATTCTGTTTTTCACATGAAGTGTTGACTTTAGTTTATTACTTATAGAATTATAATGATTGAACCAGACGCCACACATTACCCCCACATCTGTGCCCTTTAAGTTTTCAATTTTTATATAATTAGTTTACACTTAAATCTATATGATATGATATGATATGATACGAGATACGAGATACGTTACCAACCAACCTACGAGATGAAAACAATGGAAAATCTATTAAAAGTAATTTTGTAAGCAAACTTAATATTGAAAAATACGATACGTGAGAAAAAAAACTAAGAGAAATAACTAAATAAAATAACGAAGGACAAGATTATTGTGAAAAACGTGATAGTTTAAACCATAAAGAGTAATATTTACTACTATTATTATATTAATAATTAATTATAGCGATGCGTATATATACAACACACATGTATGTATGCATGTTTATGTAAAACGGAAAATGCAACAAATTTCTAAACTAACGTAAACAAAAAAAAAAATACAAAAAATTTTTTAAAATTACCAACACAAAAAAAAATGTTAAAAACAATGAGTAGAAAAACTAAAACAACAAAAAAAATGAATAAAAAAAACTTGAAAAAAACCAAAAACTTCTATGCAGTTTTTACTTTTGATTAAATAAATCTCAGATCAGATTATGATTAAATAGTATTTTCCTGAAGAAATGGAATCCGCAAGGAATAATGAATTTCTTAACATTTATGGAATTTATTATATATGTATCTGATTCCAATCTATATCTATCCAAAGATGCCCGGATAGAATCCGGAAGCAGAAATATAAAGCCTGCAAATTTTACACGAATTTTACTTGCATTTCATGTATTATGTAGTACGTATAAATGTTGCTGTGGGGCTGCTTCAACATGCTGCCGAAACATCTGCTTGGAAACATTCGATTATCCATTCAAAAGAAGTCCCCGTACAGGATCCAGGGGGGTGTCCTGGGGGGACAAAAGATGAAACAAAAGGCGTAATAAACCCCCGCACAAGACATCGATTGACAATTTGAGTAATTAACCCTCTGGAGCGTGTGTGTGTGTGTGTGTGTGTGTACCATTTGTCAATCGGCGACAAAATGCAGAGCAAACTACAAAACTACTTCTCATACTCCTATCCTCTCCTCCGGCTGCTCTGCAGCCCCATGCACATTCCTGCCGTTGCAACGACATATGTTGTGGGCTGTGTGTCGCCCCCGTACCCGTCGCAGGGATTGGGTGTCACAGATTAACGCCCTACTTGAATTATGGGACCCAGGGACCCGGGCCAGAACCCGGAGTAAACTACTCCACAAAATCCGAGCCAGAAACAAAGGCCAACGCGTGGAAAAATCATGTATAAAACATAAGAGCGACACGCATACAGGCATAGCCGTGGCAGTGGTGTTGGACAAGACGCAAAGGCACGCAAGGACCGTGGGACGGAGGCGGGGACGGGAGCGGGAGCGATGTGGCACCTACCCAGACGATAGCCTGGAGCCGGCAAGAGGCGTTTAAAAATTGAAAACCAATTTTGAAGCGATTTAAAACGACTCTAGGAGAGAGGAAGGGTGCTGGCAGGTTAGGAGGCATGAGCGGTAAGGTGTCGGAGGATTGGGGGCAGCGTGGCGCCTGCCAGATGGCGTGTGTGTCCCGGGCTTATAGTGCGACTTTTCGCACCTCAAACTGCCCGTCGCCTCCCCTGGTTTTGGGGCCAACGAGCCCTGACCCGGCGCAGTGCTTAGATTGTTACCAATATTTATGGCTCAATGGGGATACGTGCGGGCGAAGAGGAGGGTGCCGAAGGAAGAGCAGGACACGACTTTTGGCTGGCGTGACCGCAGCCTGGTTCGGGCCAGGCCAAGTCTAATCACATGACCCCTAGCCATGAACAGAGGGCGGGGGGTATATCGCATTCATATCGAAACTCAATTTAATGGGCGTTTAACGTGTGACTCGCCTTTGAACTTTGCCCGCACTTAGCGCACGCACATGCTTCCGTCGCATAGTGTAGTAAAGCGTCGTGGAGTGGAGTGGAGTGGAGTGGAGTGGAGGGGCCTGGGGAGACGTCAATGTTGCAATTTATTGGCATTTCCTCTAATGATCAGCGACTGTTCTGGCCCCACCATCGTGGCAGGGGAGCCATTTGCCTGACAAGACATTAATTGTGCTATCGAGGTGCAACCGGCGGGGGGCATTAGACATTCACCTGGCTTTGACAAGGAATTGCTGATCGAACTACTATTCGAAAATGTTGGCAGAACTTAAGTGTACTTTTCACGATAAAAAAAGTTATGTCCTCATACTTGGAATTTGCCATATGCTGCTAAAACCTCGAATTTGGTGACTTTTCGGCATTTGTAGATTCGATATTCAAAACAATTGATGGGCTCAGAAGAAAATTGTATGACCTCTGATATGATTTTGTATTCGTGTCGATACTTCGAGCGATTTTTCGAGCCAAAGCTCTATCATTTTTAATGTTTCTTCAACTTTGTCTTTTTTTAAAAATTATTTTTTTGTATGGTATGGTTCTGTTTTCAGACTTGAGGTCTTAGGTGACATTAATTCCCAACAAAATAAGCTACTAATCATTAAAGTTTTCCCATGAATGGCAAAGGTACGAATTTTTAAGTAAATCAACCCCATATCCTAGTAGGACCCAGTAGAACATGTTCTTAGAAGTGCATTCTGCTGGGATGAAAAGAAAAATATATTACCTCTCATATGATTTTGTTTTCTTGTAGATACTTCGACTGTATGGTTCTATTTTCAGACTGGAGTTCTTTAGTGGCATTAATTCCCAATAAAATAAGCTACTAATCATGAAAATTGTCCCATAAATGACAAAGGTACAATTTTTTTTGTAAATCAACCCCATATCCTAGTAGGACCCAGTATAACATGTTCTTAGAAGTGTATTCTGCTGCTGATGGGTTTATTGAAACCTAACTGATTCACTTATGGCGCTTCATGTTTAATCAATTCCGTACTTCATTCTGGCATGCAAAAAAAATGAATTCCATTCAGCAAAAGGTACTCCTAACAGGCCACCATTGAGGCTGATCCAACTATTGTGCTCCCATCAGACGTTGCAACATGCAACCATACCGCACACGATTTATGCTGCTTAGCCAGGCATTTTCCCTTTGACCCCCCCCCCCCCCCCCCCGCCCGGCGGCTCCATCACACTGAACAAACATTCTCCGTGATGGGGTATGCAACCACAGGCACAACAATTTGCACATTGGCTTAGCGTAATTATTGCCGCGATCTATAAATACAATTTTCAGCTTTCAACGAATTTTAATACCAAAAATTTTCGCTTTGGTGCGCCGTCTAATTAGTTCGACCCGCCCGTGAAGCAAACCTCTGTCAAAATTCTATTACCGCAACATAACGGTACACAAAACAGAACCGGAGTGCGACCCCAGGGGTTCAGAGACCAATGGCATCGAAAAAATTATATCCCAATATTCGAAATAATTAAATAAAATATTTCATAAAATGGTTTCCGGTTGTGCCATGGCAGCCTCGTCGTTGTCGTCGTCCCCTGTAACTGTCCAAAAACTAATTATATTTTAGGTTTTCCAATGGCTGTGGCCTCATGCGATGCATTCGCCAGGTAAATACATGCACAGCCAATGCAGTAGCCAATAAATTCAAACATTGCTTTTTTTTGAGCCACCTTTGAGCTCAATGAAATTTGGGCACGCTCGAAATGTTCATAAATAAATGGTTCCGGGGCCCAATTTCGTCATCTGTGTGGCTATTTACATACATATGACATATTAGTTTTGGATTCTTGATTGCATTTTAGCTGGCATAGACCTTGGGAATGGATGCGAGCCACGAGCCAACAAGAGAATAAAGTTGACTAAATTTGTTCATTATTTGCATGTGTTTAATAAACACTCTACGTGTCCTAATCTGATTTAAATATATATATTTTGAGGGAACTGAAAGTCGAAGAAAGTCTGGAGCTGAATTCAGAGGCTCCATCATTTCGTGCTTGATCTTTGTGGATTGTGGAACCTTTGCTACCTTTTTAGCCAGACACTGAGACCCGGCGCTGTCCTCTGGGGATTTATCTCTCAAATGTTTAGAGATCTGCTTTTGCTGCTGGAATGCAATTCCATTAACTAAGCCTCGGCTCCTGGCTCGGCTGTGGACTACTCCAAACTATTTGCATTGCCATTATGTATCCAGCGCACTTACCGAGGCCTTAATGGGTAGGGCTTACACGGCAATTACAATTCATTTGAAATGCAATACACAAGTACCCCCCCCCCCCCACTCACCCTCTCACTTATGTACACAAAGATACAGGCCAACACTAGTTCAGAGTGGGGCTTGACAAATTGTCAGAGACAGAGAGTGAGAGAGAGGGGGGCGATGCGTACAGAGTAGCCCCAAGGCAGGCCAGGGCTGGGCAGGACCAGGCAAAATCAAATTAATGATATGAATTTCTTATTTAAGGACATTAACTCAAGGTCTTCTCCACCGTAATGCTGACAATATTGTGGAAGCAACAACAACAACAGCAGCCGATTATTTACGTATACGAAATGTCGGCCAATAAACAGGAAACGGAAGTGCGTCAGCGTTCAGTGTGCCCATCCTTGGGGATTTATTAAAACGTCAGGCTCTGGCCAGGATCAATTGCTTTGTCTCTCTCCCCGATGCAGCGACATGCCGGAGCAATTACGCTTAAAGGAATGCCGCATTAGTTTCGCATTTTTTTCGCCGCAGCCACATTTAT